CAATAGCATCGGCTTCTTTGACCCTTGGCTTGCCATCATCATCCTTCTTGGACTTCATCTCTTTGAGCAACTCTGCTAAGCCGCTCATTGGGGCGTTGGCATCTCCTGAAGAAGCCGGGGCTTTGCCTTCGGCTCCTCCGTCGCCCGCATTGGATAGCCGTTCATCAGCAGTTTCACGCGCGTCGACGAAGTGCTCTTCCTTGCTGTGGGCAGGCTCTGGAACGGCTGGGTGGATTAAGCCAGCAGGCGCTCGCGATGGATAGAACTCACCAAGTTTCTGAGCAAACTTTGCATCTAGTTTTGCCTTCCAATCGATCTCAGCTGCTTGGGGCAAAGCCTCACGGCCTGCTGGCTCAGATAGCACAGGGGTGGCCGTTCCTGGCAATTGATGTGGTGCCTCAGTTTCATGTACTGGAATAAGCCCATCAAGCTGGTCTTGAAGAAGTGCGTTGGTCTCTGATGCCTTACGCAGTTCGTCCTCAAGGTATGCTTTTCTTTCAGTCCATTCGGTCTCCATGACTTGGCGCTGCTTGCGTTCTTCTTCGAGGAGTCCTCTAGCTTTGTTGGAAGCGTCCTCCACCATTTTGTCGAACATCTTCTCCAGCTCACTCATCTTCTCGTTCATCTTTTGCAAATGAAGCTTCTCAGCTTCCGCCTTCTGCTCCGACATCTTCTTCTGGTGCAAGCTGTCTGCGCTGGCAACTTTGGCCTGACTCTCAGCCAATTGCCTTTCCAACAAGTTAATCCGATCCTGCATCGATAGGACTTGCTTGTCACACACTTCCTTCATCTGATCGATAGCAACTCTACATTGCGAGCCTAAGGCTTGGATTGTAGACTGCATGATTTCTCGATGTCTCTGTTCTGCTTCGTTGCGGACGGCTTCTTCGTTCCCTGAAGCGATCTGATGTTCTGTATGAACTGGAAATATGCGGTGACGCTCTCGGATCCCATTACGATGTCCTCGGGCACGAGGTTGCCCCCGGCGGCGGTCGGTACGACATTGCCGGGTATGGGATGAGAGCGAGCGCGGCATTCGCACCTTCGTCTGTAGCCATGGCAGAGGCTACGGCTGATAACCTCTATTTTCCGGTTCAACCACTAAAATACAGTCAAAATACCGCTAAGCTGCAACTGCAAACGCTCCTTTTTGTCGCCATGAGCTGCGTGCTTGAGCCAAATTGGCACATGTGCGTAAAAGCCTAGCATTAGGTGATGTATTTCAACAGTCAGCAACCCGGCACGGAAAGCAACCGCCTGAATTACAAGGTCTGCCCCGTTGGACTGACAGCTTTCTCCTCTAGACTTGACACCCGTAGCAACGTGCAGGTTGGCCATCATTCACCGTGGCGTTGTCACAGCTAAGCGAAGGTGGGCCTTATCATCCACCTTTGTGGCGTTGTCAATGCAAGGAAGATAGTGGTTTTGATATGCAAGAAGATAGTGGTTAGCAATCGCCTAAATTAAGCGGGAGGGGGAGCGGGGGAGGGCGCAGCGCCTCCCCCGCAATGAAAACAAAGAATGGAAAGGATTCCAATAGCAGAATATCTCATGGTCGTCTGTGAGTTGCAATCGTCTGGATAAAAACAATACCGTCTGACATCTGGCAGCTGTGCCTTGGACTTCACATTCCTCCGAAGATGGACTAGTAGCCGACAATAACTATCATATCAATATCTTGATATTAGCCACGAAAGCTACGAAAGCCACACAGAAGCCAGAATTCACGAAAGCCACGAAAGCCAAAAGCCACAGAAGCCAGAAGCCATGAAAGCAACGAAAGCCAAAAGCCACAGAAGCCAGAAGCCACGAAAACCACGAAAGCCAAAAGCCACAGAAGCCAGAAGCCACGAAAGTCAAAAGCCACGAAAAACAAAAAATATCCTAGAAAAAAAGAAACAAAAAAACTCCTAAATTAAATGACCCTCCTTTGAATGGGATCTTCATCTTGTGCCCTCCTGCCTTCACCTCGTCAGGAACAATTCGGCTTTTTGTTTTGGACTCCTCGAACAGCCTCCTGAACGATTCACCTGGTTGCCAAGAAGTTCCAGCAGCCAAGAATCAAGAGCCCCTCTTTCTGCCAAGGCTCTTATCTCCGAACATCCATTCAGCACCTTGTCCTAGGCAGTTGAAGCACCATGGAAAGCCCCCACTTCACGGTGCAACTTCCTGTGAGAGAATGACAATGAAAGCAAAGTCCAAGCGGCATAAGGATGAATACATTGTGCCAGCGCAGATGGAAACCAGCAGGCCTTCATCCGCTCCAAATCCCTTTGAGAGAAAGAGGCCTCGGCCAACATTCGGGGTACAGTAGGGTTCAGTGGAAGTGTGGCACTTCTTAAAGACCAGCCGCATAAAACTCGACATTCGCTTGAAGAACAGTTCCTTCGTCTTCAAGCTGACTTGAGCAAAGTTTATCGCGGAGTCGAGCTGCTCCTTTCCGGGCGATCAAAGACAAGGTCAACCGTCTGCAAACGCACTTTTCCTTCACAACCGACACATTCTCGATCCAGAACGAGCTTCCTCTGTACAAACCCTGAAAAAAAGTTTGGTTTAGCTATCGATAATCGAGACCAAAAAGACTGCCAGCTCCTGTGAAGTCTCCTGCCTGCGCACATTCAACCATTTTGCGGTCCATCTCCTTGGCACACCACCCAGTCCCGATGACAACAAACTGGACACCGGACTGACAAGAATTCAGCAGGGTTTCTTCCACCACTTCATCGGTCAAGGACTTTTCCACTTTTCTGGCTTTATCGCTTGACCTCACATCGCCATCTTCTGCACGGCGGCGGGTCCGAAATTGTCTGCCAAACGCCGCTGCGACCATGCAGGCAGCAAGGGTCGCGTGCGAACCTCAGCACTCAAGGCCCGAAGGCGTTGAAAACAAATCGATCTCAATCCTCCTTTTTGCCAAGTGCTGCAGGGAAGCCCTTGGAACCCAAAGATGTTCCCAGCTGTGGCGCCTGAGCTCAGATGGGGGTGGACGCAAGGTTTGCAAGCAAGGACAGGCGGGCAGCAGCAGCAGCAGCAGCAGCAGCAAACCAACAGCAAACGAGCAATCCTGGAGTAACAAACCATGAGGTCCAGCAAAAGCATGGGCAGCAGGAGCATAGGTGGGAACACGCAAGGCATGAGGGCGAGGATGAAGCTCAGGAAAATATAACGAGAGGGAGGATACTTCATTTAAAGAGAAATTGGGTGAAGCTGCGTTGCATGAAGTAGAGGAGTACATGAAGTGGACAAGCTCGACACGAATCCAATCGCACCAGGCCATAGCACAATTGAAGGAAAATTGACACTTCCCAGAACCCATACCCGCTTGGCACCCAAAGATCAGTCATTTGGGAGGATCCTCGTAAGCTGAAGCTAATTGAACTCAATTTGCCCGGCAGCCTGAGGCACGATTAGTAAATTCACCCACACATCGTTGCCGCAGCTGGAGCCACAGCTTCAGTCAAGTGTCTTGAGGCTCTTGCGAGCAGTTATTTATTAGTCATGAGTCATGAGTCTCTACCACAAAACAGAATCTGTTTCGCAAACCTTCCTGTAATGCATTTTGTGGCTATTGAAACTACAAATGCCTGGACCGCTGAAAACTGAAATGTTGAAGAAACTTGCACAAACCAAGCCACACCCTGTTCTGGTGCATGTGGCAGTGCCCGTAGTGGAGCAGCTATACTTTGGACAAAGGTTGTGAAACTCCTCAATGACAAGGGCTTCCACAGACAGCAATCTGGCTACTAAACAAGAAGAAGCCTGTACATGAATATGCATACATACTGTACCGTCTTAACTATTTACAGTAGGTGGAGAGCTGGGGCAAAAGCACATGGTACACAGCATTTTTGGTATATACCTTCTTCACAAAGATCAAGTAAACAAACAATCGCCAAGTGGCGCCCTGTCTTGAGCCTATCACAGGCAAGAGAGCCTCTTCAAAGGTGAAGTAAGGTGAGGTGCAATTTTAAGAAAGCTGGGACAGCAGCTGAGATTATTTGGGGAGCGACGGTGACCTTTGGTATGTAAAGGTGTCAGAGTATTGACCTAGAACGCCACGCTGGCAAAATGTGAATCTTCACGCAGCGATGGGCTTTGTCATCTGCACACACGAAGGCGAATGGGAAGAAGACATGCAAGAAGATCAAATTAAATAAAGACTGATAAAATCAAAAGAGTTGAGAGGCAAGCAAGTGAGATGAGACGAATCAAAACGATTGCAAAAGCTGATTGTGATGTGAAACAAAGTCAGGTGATTCTGGATCGAGAGAAAAGTGGAGGAGACTATTAAACAATGAGATGAGACTATATGGGACGATGAGACGATGTGAATCTGGCAGAAACATCAAATGAATTTGCAAGTTCAGGTCAGTTGAAAATCACTGATGCTCTATTTTCCGAAGAGGGAGATGTCATGTCACACGGTTTGGCCAGACTTCGTGACTCACTCTAACACTCTCTGGGGTCGTACCATTCTAATTCCGGTCCTACCGTGCAGTTGCGACGCTGCCACCAAAGCCTCAGAAGGTGGCAACGACAAATGCAAATGGTTTCACTTTGCAGCCCTGGGGAAGGGACAGCCACACCCAACCGCAGGCTGCGCATTCCTCGCAAGTGCAAGCTACCGCTACACCAATGCTGAGATCTTTGTTGCACGCCTGAAGGAGCCATCTGCTTCAAAGCATGGTTGCCCTTGCTCAAGGAATCGCAGTATCTGGGTGACAGTCGCCTTCATATGAGATGTAAACAGGCCGCAAACATGCCCCGCAACTTGAAACAAATCGTGATGTTTTTCCTTGCCCTTGTTGCCGTTGCTTACTCGTTTGCGGAATTTACTTGATGCTTGAGCCCCAAACAGCCGTCAAGCAATTCTAAGCGTGCATTCCTTGGTTGGGGGGTTGGGGGTCAACGTGGAATGTATGGCAATCCAAGTCAAGGAGAAAAGTCGCATCACGGTGCACCAAAAAATTGCCACAATTGTTCTTGACATTGTCCCTTTCTGCCACATGCAGCGCCAGCAATTTAAAGGAGCAAATCAGAGGCTGGTCGTTTTTTGCTGGAGTTCACCTTCAGCTGAGTTCAAAATGTTCATGCCAAACAGGACGCTGCATGCAACTGGCCTGCGCCTTCCTGGCCAACCGTTGGGCAATCTCCTGCCACGCATTGGCTGCACATGGTTCGTTCACATGCCTTCATTGTGGCTCAGGCCTTGGCACTCTCTTCACTTGCCTTCTTCGGTTTCTTCGCTTTGGGCACCGGTGGCTCGTACTCCTGATGTGGTGGGCCAAACGGCGTATCCATTGAAAACACTTTGACGACAGGGTGGCCCGAAAGCACCGCAAAAAAGAAGATGATAACGATGAGGATGAGGATTGAAGATGACGTTGGTAATGATGAGGGTGAAGATGAGGATGCTGCTGGTGGTTGTACTAGTGAACCTGAAAATGGTGAAGGTTACAACGGTGCCCATACCAAGTTCCGTGGGCACCCCCAAACCTTCCCGCTCCCCAGCGACCCGCCGAATTTACACCAGCATTCTTTCCTTCCCCCAATGGCGCGGACTCACGCAAACGCACTTTCCACCGAGGCAACGCAAAACCGCATGGCACATCAACATCACAAACGTCATGTCGCCACACAAATGCGCCGCAGACTATAGTGACTAGATTCAACAATGTAACTGACTTTCCACCGAGGCCGCGCAAAACCGCGCGGCGCAGCCTCACCGCGACATCACAGCCGTCCTCTCGCCACATGGCGTGCCACAGACTAGACACAACAGTGCAACACCAAGCTTCGTGAGCACCGCAGCGACATGCCGCATTTACACCCACTGGCACGGACTCAAGCGCACTTTCCACCGAGGCCCACGAAACTGCGTGGCACAGCGACAACTCAGCCGCATAATTTGCGCCCTAGCTTGGCCACCCGGCGCAAGACAGACTTAGATACAACAATGTAACACCAAGCCTCGTGGACACCGCCAATCTTCCCGCTCCCCAACAACACGCCGAATTTAGACCTAAATGCACCAATACTCAAATTCGCATATTTCCCTTGAACACTCGACACGCACGGTTTCCGACCCTTGACAATCATATCAACCGCCTGCACCTGCACAACTTCATACGAGGATGACGATGACGACGACGGCGACGAAGAAGAAGAAGATGATGAGGAGGAGGAGGAAGAGGAGGAGGAGGGCGCTGATAGCAATGACAGTGATGGTGACGAAGATGACAGCGCTGATGGCGATGTCGAAGACAATGGAAGTGATGATGACGCTGATGCTTGCTGATGATGATGATGGTGATGATGGTGGACTGGAGGCGATGATGCTGATAGTAGCTACGATAATGTTAATAATAGAGAGCGGGTGGCCATGGGGCCTGGGCTTTGGTTTTCCCAAAATGTTTGGTAAATGCTTCAGTGGCAGCCCCTCTCCATATAAACACACATAAAATATATTCCTGCTCTCTCTAGACGAACAAATATATTATGTATTCCGGAGTCAAGGTCAGTTTATTGTCTTGGAAGCAGCAATCAGTCATTCAGATGGTTTTGAACAAAATAATTAGGAAAGAAGCAGGCCATAAAAGCGTTTATTTTAACAATTGTCCTCTAGATCCCTGCTTATACAGAAACTTTGTTTAGATTTGGAAGATTTAATATAGACCCTTTTATGTTGCAGAGGAGTCTCTACAGATCTCTGCGGATAATCATTTTTAGGTTTAAACAACTATATAGAAACCTTGTATGTTAAAAACTTTCTTCTAGATTTCTGCGGGTAAGAGCTTGCATTTTCAAAGCTTTCCTCTGGATCTCTGGAAAAGTCGATATCCCATATATGTGTGTTTTCATGAAAGGAAAGCTGTTGAAAAAAAAACGTATTTATTGATATATGTTTTCATTTGACATGACCATTTCCTGAGATTCAGGGGAAAGCTTTTGAAATGAAAGCTTGGATATATCCCCAGAGATCTACAGGGAAGCTCTTGAATTAGAAGCTTGTACATAAAACATGTTCAATATGTCTATATTATTTCCAACAGTTACTGTAAATAAACATATCTAACTATTTACTCCAAAATAAGAGTTTTAGTCTTGTTCCCAGCGCTCCCAGGGCAAAAAAAACTGTAAAACACGGGGTTTTGTAGCATGTGCTTTCTTAAACTAAATAGGCTAGAGCTAGAATAGAATTAGGTAGAGTGAAATTGGATTTGCATTAGAGCTAAGACAGAACTGAATTAAAACCGAATTTCAGCTAAGCTTGTATTGAACTATAACTACAACCTATTTAAAATGAGATGAGAGCTGAATTAGAAAGGAATTGGAGTTAAATTAGAAGTTCGCCAGAATAAGATGTAAAACGCTTGAGCTACAAGATGCACAAGTCGAGGAGGCTTCAAAATTACAAAGCCGAAGCAAAAGCAACAAGCATTGAATTAGAACTACAGCTTACACAGATTCAAAACAGTTTCATGTAAATTGGAAGGTGTCATTACAGTACTGTTTCATGTCAAGCTTATTGGACATGCAATTGGCAACCACATTGATACCAATCAGAACTTAATGCATAGACTTGTACATGGAGATTTCGACAAGGACAAAGGGAGTGTTGGGCTCAGACGTAAGAGCAAAGAACATATGCCTTCAGGTGAGACTTAGGCTCACATGCTTGAAGGTTGAACAAAATAGTAATAACACCGATTGACCTAAAAAGGAAAACAAAAAACAAAAAACCTTGAGAAAACCAATAACAACCTAGGAAAAAACCAAAAGACTTGGGAAACCCAAAAACAAAAAACTAACAATTCTGGGGAAGTCTTGAGGAAAGGGGGGGTCCAGCCAAGAGTCTCTGAGAAATGTCTTTTTTGTTGTTTTGTTTTCCCAATGTTGTTTCGTTTTTTTGTTTTTCCTAGGTTGCTGTTGGTTTTCCTAAGGTTTTGTTGTTTTGATTGGTGTTTCTAAGTTTCAGTTTTTGTGCAAATTATTCAGTGTTTTTGTGGTTTTGATAGTATTCGTTTTTTGTGGTTTTGATTGTATTTGTGAAAAGTTGTCTGCAAATACAGAAAACCAAAAACCCAGGCCCCATGGCCACCCCTTCTGTAATGATAATGATGATGATGATGGTGATGTTAATAACCATCAAGAAAATGATCCTGAATTCCACATCTATGATGATGATAGAGATGATAGTTAAACAGTTGAAGTTGGCAGCCGTTCTTGAAGGAGAACCCTTCGCAGGTGCTTTCAAGGCAAAAAGATATTCCAAGGTGAGCCTTTGCGCGCTCTCTTCTCTTCTCAGCACTTTTGGCTTGTTGAGCCTCCAAACCACAACTGCGTTGCAACGATCGACTGAAACACCTGCGGTTTTTCAGGATTTGCTCTGCTGTATGTTGCCTGAAACAACGCGCAACATATGTACACAGCTGTAACAGTTGTAACCCTCAAAACCCTGCAACGTTGACCAGCACTCTGCTTGATTGCATTCGAGCGACTCTACTCGTAGCTCGTCTGTTGTCTACGGTCCAAGTCCTTTGACAAGAGCAGTGAAGACGTTGTACTCGCGCCCCTGGTCTCTTGCCCTTCAACACACACAAAACACTCAAAATTGGTAAGGTGCAGGTAAAGGGCGCCCCAAATGTGGAATACTTTGATGAGGATGTCGACTGGTCAACCGCAAACCACTTTTGGCTCACAATGATCTCGCTGGAGAATTGGCTCAACTGCGCCCAGATAAAATGTCCATCAGACGTAGGATGGGCAAAATTGGGTTCCATCCGACGGGGAAGGATCTCGCCAAATGCCAGGCACGTGGTTGGCGTTCGAACTGATTCGCCTCGAAGACCATCCACGCCAGCCATACCATACTGCGCGTTCGCAAACAGGATTCATTCGTGAGGAATCCTGTCCAGAATACCTTCATGACACATAGGGCAGATCTGAACAAAGATTGATTTCTGCGCCTCGTCCGGCGCAAGATCTACCATCTACCAGGAGTAGGTAACCCTTTCACAAAGCACATTTGCAGCACATCCTGCAAGTAAGTTCAAAGACGCCCTCAAATTTTCACCGTTATCGCCAGTCTCCAGTTCGCTGTCGTTCTTCTGTCATACAATGAGAAATATGTATTTGTAGTCCTCGGCCGACAAGACACTCTTCAGACACTCATGGTATTCCGTCGCTGCAGATCGTGATCTCCATGGACACTCCTCGCTCAAATGTAATCGTAGAGGAAGGATATGGCAGTTCAGGGTCGTCCATGGTGAAATGTGTTCTTGACTGCTGTGGATAGTTTCAGCTGGGATTCTGTTCAGACTAGGCTTTGCGATTCATAGTCTTTCTTGCGCCGTCTTCTCTCTCCAGCCCGGGCACCCTCCCTATTGATTCTAGCCCCACGTTGGGCAATAGCGTCCGGGAAGGCATCTCTTTGTCGCTCAATAAGCAAAAGACGAACTGCACGTGGTCAGTCAGCTGCGAAAGACACTGCAACCACGTAGATCCATGCATCCTTGACAATGTGTTGGACCGATAATGTAGTATAGCTCCGACCGGGGCTAAACGGCAACGTTCTTGTCATTCAAGAAACCTGCAAGCGCGGTCTCGAAAATCTGATTCCGGTCCAACGGACACTGATCAGATCAGCATTTGGAGGTTCGTCCGGCTCGTATCTCCACGACGCTGATCTCGCTCTTCATCCTCTTCGACCATTGCTCTTCATTTAGGGCCTTGACAGGGATAGCAAGGCAGCGATTGATCAAATTGCATTCTTTAATCCACAACTTGCATCATTGGCCCGACCACATTTTTACCCATTGTTGGATAGGCCGTACCTATCCCTTACTTACCAAAAAGGACTCTCTTTAAGCATGATATAAACCAAAAATCACCCAAATGCTTGACATGAGACTTATCATGTTTCATCTTTGCCCTGGTGCAAGATTCTTGCATTGATGGGTGAGACGGAGTGCGACGGTCCTTGCCTCGGACTTCAAAATCAAAGTTCCTCTCCTGCTTGAACCTTGTACCTTCTACCACATCGACTCCAACGTCATCTTCACACCATCCCTGGGCTCCTCAGCCCCTCTGCCGCGGAAAGCTTTATTCTTTCTTCTTTTCCTCTTCTTGCTTTGGCCTGAGAGAGACCTTCTGCTGCGGAGTCTTGCTGTGATTCATCCGGACGATAGCGCTGCGCAACCTGTTGCTCTACGTCACAATCATGGGCACGAACCTGCCGACGGCAAGGGTCGATACCCACGTTTGGAACATCCGAGGGCTTCACAGTAGCTCATCCCACGCATGGAAGAATTGCTGGGCTCTTGTTGGAAGGCTGTCAATTGTTGGCTTGAACTGCTCAAAAACTGAGTCAGCAATCTCCCCACCAAGTGGGTAGATGGCTTTCAGCTCCACCCATTCTTCCCAACGATGTTTGTGGTGCCTCCTGCCAAGTTCTGGCTTTGTAAAAGGTCCTTGAGAACCTTCTATTCCCCTGGGCCCGCCTCTCTCAGAGCAGGCCCACTTCCATCAAGCTGGGCAACCCTCTCTCAGAGTAGGACGGGGGATCTCCGGTTGCTCAAGCGGTACTTCATCGTGGGCTTCTTCACGCACATGGACTTTTGGACCTCACTCTTGGTATGCTCCGTTTCAGGTTTGCAATTACCTCTACGCCTTTTCTGGACCAAGTTTCTTGCCCTCACATTCGGATGTGACGCTGTCCTGACATTCTTGATGATCATTGCAAACACCTCTGCTCTTCGTCCAAACTGTCCAATTGCTCAGGTGCTCATAGCTGCACTGCATCTTTGGATCAATGGAGTCGAAGTTCTCCACTCCAGATCAACATACAGTCCGCATCGGGATTATCCCTTGGTTGTCTGAACCACTCAATCCAATCCTTCTGGTCCATTCCTTTGGTTGCAATGATGACTGCTTGTCACACGTTTCCTTTCTAGAGTGCAAGACTGACTCTTTCCTGCACCCTCAACCTTTTTTGCCCTCAATCAATGTTTTGGGCCTTCATCGTGACTTGCTGTCCGAGACAGAAACCAGTGGCAAGCTACTCAACATCTTGGTCATGGCGCTGAGTGAATTCTCGTACTTCACAAAAGATGACATGTGGCGCAAACGTCGGATCCCTATTGGGCTTCCATCTCAACTCGTCATTTGCCTCCATTGGTCCATTAGGGCTGTGTTGGCTTCACAGAACTTCTCCTTCTCAACAACTAACGCTCTTGTCTTGGATTCAAAAACTGCATTGCCGGACGGTGTTCTCCAATCTTCCCTCAGTCTCCATGGACATATGACTCTAAGAGCAAAGCAGTTGAATGCCTCTGTGACTCCATGAGGGTTCGACACTGAGCTACACAAGTTCAGCCCGACTTAATGCAAAATATGCACTGGCATAAGGCAAAAGATCGTTCAAAGGCCACATGTGCGCCAAGACTCAGAAGAATTAGTATATATTATATAAACAAATGCTGACTGATCAAGCATCAGCGGCCTCGCGTTTTGCGATCCTTTGTCTGAGTTGCCGTTCTTTTTCCTTGATGGTCTTGCGAAGGAGACCACTAGACCGCATGCATGAACTGACACTTCCAATATGGAACAGAGGGGCGTTGAGAAAGAACTCCCCCGACTCCATCTGCAGGTCCTGCGCAACGATGCAAGAGTTCAAAGTTTGTTTCCTTGCAATTGGTGCAGGAATTCAGGGGATCCTCTTTTCTTGGTGCTGGTTGAGGTGGAAAAACATCTTTCGTCTTCTTCTTGGCCTGCGGTGGCAAAGGTTTCTCAAGCGCCAAGCTGCCGCTGTACTTTCCAGCCTTTTTCGTCTTCAACTTCTTGCGCTGCACATTCCGGTTTTTGAAATGTGGGAGAAAGCGCTCCCAATTTTCATTCTTCAATTCGGGATCCTCGTGGATTGGGCATGGCCGGGCCGTGGGCTATGGCAGTTATGGCCATAAGTGCATGGTTCTTCCTCAACAACAATTCACAGCTTGGCTGAAACAGTTGGCCTTTTCCAGTTCTCGTCGAATCATCAACTCCTTGATGTGATAGATCCTTGGAATGGCCAAGCTCTATCTTAACACTATGCAAAACTAGGGCAGGTGTGTTCTGGCAGGCAACGGATGAATGTTGTGAAAGCAATCTTCCACTATTCTGCGGACCTGACGGGCGCAAAAAGGAAAATAGCACCCTGTTGATTCTGCAACTGCGCCAGCCTGCTTGATGCCCTTGATCGACCCCATGATGGACACGGTTTGCCCTTGAACAAGGACAAAGCATTGTGTCAATAGCTCGATGGCCTCAAAAAGCTACTGTGGCCAGGCAGTTGTTGAGCGATTCAAACACTGCACGCGAGGGTAGGCCTTCAGAGTGGACCCGTTGGGTCCAACAAGACGCTGGCGTCGTTTCACAAAGCGCTCTTTTGACCTGACCAAGCCTCAGAACAATCACATATCTTGACATTGCATTGACACAGGACAGCTTGTCGCAACCACAAGGCCTCCAATCTTCATGATGTCGCAATACACCTCATCTTCGCGCTTTCTTGCTTGCTCAGGCTTGCACGCACTACGGTGCCTCATCATCCAAGACTTTCTTTGCTTGTGGCAGTGGCACACTTCTTGCCAAAAGTTTGATCATATCCCTGGCCTGCTGCAAACACAGAAGGCAACAAACACCGTTAGGCCTTGTGATTCTCATGTCGGAAGCCCAATGAGATGCCAGCGTGCATAGAGCTTAGCACTAAGTAAAGTAGGGACTTTGCACTTCGAAACATTTTTCAGTTTCACTTCAATTGTAAAATCTGCAACTCCAAGACACACGCGTCAAAGAGCTGGGTTATATATTGGAAAACATGCTGCTACATAGACGGTGATACGCTAATATTGATATCCTACATCCAAGTGCATCAATTACCTACAGTAAACGCTTTGTTGCCTTTTGCCTAGCACTGCGTGAGTTTTGGTGTCGAAAAAGGTCAAAAATGAAGGTCCTGGTACAACAGTTGCTGCCCCTTGTTGTTACCTAGGCGGGGCAAAAGTTGTTGGGGAAAGAACTGCTGGCTGATCCACTGCTTTACCATCCGACAGTCTAACCGCGAAAAAGTCGCGCTGCAAGTTTTGCACACCCTCAGAAATTGTTGAATGTTCTATATAGCTGCATGTAGTTGGCCTGCCGGCGGGACATTTCGCACACTGTTTTGCAGTTCCGAGTTCGTTTTGCTATTTACAGCACTATGCGTCCGCAGGGCCACCGAGGAGAGCGTCAAAATGGTCATAAGCATGTTTTATGGTATTTCTCATGGTTTCGAGCAATTATATATGTACAAAATGCATTGTAATTACTGCACTTTTCTGACGGCATCACAAAAAAGACATGCAGTGAGCCACGCACGGCTCTCGAATCCTGGTGCATTTCAAGTTTGTGATGAACTCCGGGTCTGTGAAACCCTTGGCGTAGATGGACAACTTGGCATGAGTAACCAAAGTATAAACAGTACCAAAGTATCTTTTTCAAAACAAACAAGAGCGCACAAGAAAGAGCTTTAACAGATACAAATCCCAAGGCATTTCAAAAAACGACTTCTTTCACACACAAGAAGGTCCCGAAACCACCCGGCCATCTACGCCCGGCGCACATCTAGCCCGTGCATGTTGACCCGTTTCGAAATCAACTCTGGCATAGAGGCCTTGACGATGATGTATGGATCCCATGTCTTCTTTGTTGTTCTCACAGTCATCGACCCCTCGATCAAGTTCAACTCACCGACCAGTTCATGCCTCGCACAGCCACAACATTCACGGGCTGCGGAGCACAGATCCTTTCTCAACGAAACGATATCTTCCCCCGCCATGTACGGGCAAGCGCTGTTACCTCATGGTCTCATGGTGCTTTCAGACCTCTCAGCGCTGCATGCCCACTACCACCTAAAAATTGCAATCAAATCTGTTCCAAGCGTAGTCAACATTCCCTCTCTCGGCCTCCAATTTCTAAATTTGTTTCCCCCCTGCCGTTGGTCGGGGGTATTCGGGGGTGAGGGATCCAAAATATAGAGCACCATCAAAGAAGAAATAGGAAAAACTTAGAACAAAAAATCCCAGTGAGCAACGAAAAGGAAAAGGACTACAGGGTTTTTGAAAGCGACCAGTGAACCAAAGGATGAGGGGGCAATGGACCAAAAAAACGCCAACGAACCAATGGACCAGAGGACCAGGTGTTTGTTTAGGCTTTACGCCGCGATCAAAAACGGATTGAGATGCAGGGCATTGCAAGCTTCAGTCCGGCTCTTTTGTCAGAGCTTATGCACCGAAGCGCGCTTCAGGGGAGAATTCTACGATGCGCTTCACAGAGCCACCCAGGATTGATCAGTTCGGGCACGAGGCAATGTCGTCTGATGTGTGTTTGGTCAATCCTCTCCATGTCGAGTGCTTGTACTTGCATTTGCAGCACGGCGGAAGTCCTCCCAACGCATCCTGGAGGATTTCACAACAATCGTACTGCTTGGTGGCTTTGTGGACTCTTGTCAGATGTGATCGAGCATCATGAAAGGACTTGCTGACATCGTCACACACGGGATGTCCTCCTCGACATCATTTGCCGGAGCTGTGTATAATGGTTTGCAAGAAGTTTTGTTGGCTACCAGCTTTTCTCGCGCTGAAGGTGAAGGCGAGAAGCTGTTGGTGAGCCGGCAACTTCGAGCGAAAAGAGCATTGGCAAGGGACCAAATCCAAGCCATGGGCCCTGTTAGAAGGAGAAGGCAAGCCGGGAGATGGGCGGACCTGGCTCCGTCCTCTTCAAGGAGCTCGCAGAGAGATGGTGGATTGATGTCGATGTTGGATTGGCCAGAGGAGGCTGCCTGGAGTGCCCGAAGATACTCAATCGCCTGGGTCCAAGCGCACTTCAGGTATTCTTTGGGCATGCGATTGCAAGGAGCTGATGAAGAGCAGCAGAATATTTGGAGCTACGCCTTTGTAGTGGCTTTACATTTTCAAAGTTGACTGGCAACGTCTTCAAGGTCAAGTGGCAAAAGGTGACGTTGAAGCGGTGGTGTATCTGAGGTGGAGTCTGTGGAGATGGTGGCAACAAAGCGGTCAAACCTTTGGCATAAGATATGCCCAGCATGGGCCGCCTGTTGGGTTACCAATTGTAGTTTTTCCTTTTTTCTTGACATGACAGTAGCGGCGCAACTCTCGGCAAAGTCTTTGCTGCTGCCCTGCATGGGCCCAGGCCTTCAGGAGGTGTCCTGGATGTGTCCCCATGGTGTTCTTGAAAAAGAAGAAGTGCTCCCATGTCCTTGCGGCAATAAATTTGCAGGTGGCCGTCCGGACTGGTAAAGTTTGGTTTCTGTCGCGCATTGTGAAAGCGCTGTCTACAGAGATTCAGAATTGGCGCCTCCGAGTCCAAAACTCGGAATTTGCCTGATACTCACTCCACGCTGCGCTGTCTGGAGGGGGGCGATCCCCTCATTCTGGTGGTGGAAGCACCAAGCTGTCCATCCCAGCGGAAAGGAACAAAACAAGGGGTAGTGATCTTGGAAAGTTCGACAGAAAGCACGCTTGGCCACGTGGTCAGCTTGTGGACGTCTCATGAACATGCAGCCGATGGTAAAGGAACTCTGTGGCCTAACAAAAGACATACAAAAACTGGAGGGCGGTCATGGCCTCACAAAGCACGAGGACCATCAATACATTAGATCTGTGAGGCCACCGGGAGCGGTTCCTTCGGTGGAACCTCCAGCCAGCAAGCGGTAAGGCGTTCCTGAAGGGGTCCTTTTGAGAGGCGCGGCTAAGGTCATGCCAAAAAAACTCCCGACATTTGGACGGGTCATCACGTTCTCTGTTGGTTTTGGTTGTTGATAGCAGCCGGCGACATCAGCCAAGTGACAGAGCATGTGCTGTATGCGTCCTGGCCGCGGGGAAGCGAAGCTGATGCCATCGAGTCTGCAGAAGTTGGTGTTCGCTAAGGTGAGAAATCAATTTTTTGGTTTGGCGTGTCTAATGGTGGTACGGCCGCATACCGTATAGGCTGATGACTTCTGGCAGTATGGGCTGTAGCGCGTCCATATAGTGATACAAGAGAAGCCTGGTGGATTAGTTTGGTTTTAGTGAGGCTGCACGGTTGCAGTAGCCGGATGAATCTTGTCTTCGTTGCCCGGGGGCCGTCATAAGGGACTGCTGAGGTAAACAAATTTCAACCCAAGCGCTGGTGGTGATGATGATGTGAGAACTATCATAATTTGATGTATCTTGAGTATATCACATTCCGTGCAACACTGACAAAGCCCAAGCCACGAAAAGCCAATGCCAACCGAAGCCGCCACAAGCCACCAAAAGCCAAAAGCCACCAACTGCCAAAAGCCACCACAAACCAAAAGCCACCAAAAGCCAAAAGCCGCCAACTGCCAAAATCCACCAAAAACCAAAAACCACCAAAAGCCGAAAGCCACCAAAAAACAAAAACAAACACAAGCAGCACAAGCCACCAAAAGCGAACAGAATGCTACCACACCACTAATGGTAAAACAACATCCCTCCAAAAAAACAACTACAAAATACGCACTTTTCCTGATGCTCACAAGGGGCTGCAGTGAGGTCAGCCGTACATGTTGTGGTGTCAGTATCGCTATGCATCTAGGTTGTGGTCATATGGAAAATGGTTCGCACTACTTCTTGGCACTGCGAAACTCTAAGATACTTCTTTGAGTTCATGCCAACATAATCCATTTTCGTCCATTCAAGTCTTGTTTCTCTGCAGGCTGTTAAGTTCCTGAAGCGCTCTTCTGCTGGATCAACATCTGGGTTGCCCCTTCTGTATTCTGCTATTTCAAATGATTGCTCAACCTTCCTTGTTCTCGCTCAACTCTATCTGCAGTATCTGTCTTCCATCTGGATTGAGTTGTCTGATGGTAGTTGCTGGAACTTGATCAACCCAATCTGCTCTTCATAGGCTTTCAGTATCTGCTGGATGTAGCTACCTGGTTGGATCCATAGTCCACCAACTCCTATATAATTTGCACCTTCTCCTCAGAAAATTGAACTCATCACCAACCTTCTCAATCTTGCTCACACTGGCGTCAAATTTGCCTTGAACCTTTGGAAGAAAGGTTTCATTGACTTTGGGTCTCCTGTGAAAATCAAATCACCCATATGGATCAAAATGATACTCTTCTCATTCCTTCCTAGGCATGGACACTCAGCACTGAACTTATAGTTGGGTTCCTCTGTGAGGTGCTCTGCGAAAAAAGTCACGAAAAAAGTCACACAATGCGCTTGCTCCAACTTTTTGTTCATGTAGATTTCTCTTCACCAAGAATTCGTCTCCTCTCAATTCACTTGCAATGGCTTCTCTTGTGGAACTTGTAGGAACGCATCTTTCACATCAAGACATCCTAGTACCTGTGAAAATGTTCCTTCTCCCTCTCTTGCCTCTTCTTCTTTACTGGCTATTGAATATTCTTGCAAAGAATCGCTGGTGAGAAAATGTCATCTCTCTTTCCTTCAGCGAAAGCAGATTCTCTTGCAACTACTCTTGACCTTCTCTTCCACCTCTTGATTGACATGCCATCGACTACATTGCGCGCCGTCAAGCAACTGATCCCTTTTGCGCTGCCTTCTGGTTTCTCTAGCACTTGCATCTCGAGCCTTTTCCGTTCCACTTCACCAGCCACTCTGTCCATCCATTCTTCTGGATCTCCATGTTCTCCATCACACCACAAGCACTCAGGTCCATTTACTTCTTCCAAATCTGGTCCATTCCATTCATCATCCCACTCTTCCTCGTCAACTTCTTCTGCAACTGGGGATAACTCTTCATCTATATGGTAAAGGCCTTCACCTCCAACTTTCACCATGTTGATCCTGGCCTTCTTGCTTGAATCATCTGATGGCCGGAGTTTCTTCATTGGGCTTTCTTCTTGTTTCTCTTGGTCTTGATGCCGCTGATGGTGATCTCAATGAAAATAGTATAGGGGTATTTGGATTAGGCTGTCCTGCTGGCAATGATGTAGAGGAAAATGCCTTCACCTTCTCAAGTGTTTTCTGCCCAATAAAGAGAACTTTCTGCTTCTTACTTGGTGTCTCTTCTCCACTTGGTTTCCTTTCACCTCCATTTCTTTTCATTGCTTCAACAGTGATTTCCAGCGGGGCTGGGGTCTCCATCTGAACCACTTCCTCCTTCAAGTGCGTTTGCCTTGACTGACTGCTTCTGCATCTTCATCTCTGAACTTCAGCATTACATGTTCTGGCGGAATGTCTGGCTGCGCTGCTGCTTATGTTTCTGCTCTTCTCTTGGTGGCAGTGATACCCCCATGAAAAGGCATTGAAGCTTTTGTATATGGGCAGGTCTTTGGATCAATCTTGATCTGTTCTTCTGAAGCATTTGCTCAGCACTACCTGCACTCCATCTGTAAGCACACAGGTGTCTTGCCATTCAACTTTTCCCAAGAACAAGCATAGAGTTCATCTGGTTCCTTCTTTGTTGAAGCTCCTGATGTAACCATATTTTGCTAGAAATCTTTCGCAACTCTTGCCATAGACAAGCCAATATCGAGTTGCACCTTTGACTGGCTGAAATCTGTTACAACTGGCACGCCTTTTTTGTCCAAATCCAAAGTGCATGATCTGATCCAATCTTGATACCAAGTATTGACTGCACACCTTCAATGAAAGTTCCTGCAAGTTTTTCACCCTGTCACTTGTGCTCTCTGACAGAAATCTGGTAGTAGGTCCTGGCCTTGGTTAGAGTCTTGAGGGTTTGTCTTGTTGTGGGTTCATTGTCACTCCTGTAGGCGATTGCTGGGTACCTCAACAACTGACTGAAACTCACCAACTCTTGCACAAAGGGATGCTTCGTCTCTTTACGCCATCTGTTCTCTCATGGCGGTCTAGACGTGCTTGATCTCGATACACTCCTTGCACAAAATGGCATATGGCCCTCTTGTTTCCTGAGCTCTTGCTTCACTCACCAAGTTTTTGGCGTTCAACAACTCCATTTTCTTGTTGTGATTGAAGATCTTCGTGTGGACCTTTAGCTTAGGACCACTGCCTGAAATGCCGAGAAATGAACATGCTGCCCTCAGAGTTGCCAAAGCAGAATCCTTAGTCAACTCTCTTCCTTTCACCAAGACTTTGTCTACATCCATTGGGCTCAAACGTAGTTCACATTCAAGGTCAGCATCTTTCTTTTCATTTTTTGTTCGACCTTCTACCTCCTTCTCCTGGGGGGTAAGGGGTAATCTCTTCTATTGCCTGCGTGTTTTTTCTCTGCTCTCTGTTCTCAAATTTCTTGTGTCCTTGTGCAAAGAATCCAATATCCTCTGGTGGTCCTGGTTCCTAGCTGCAGGTGATTGTTATTGACGGATTGGCTGACTGCATCATCATCAAAGTATTGTTCACCAAGTTCCTCCTTCTTCATCACGCTTTCACAATATTCAGGCATTAACCCTATACCTCCTTTTTTCACCAAAGTGGTTCTCACCAGCTTTGGTGCTTCTTCCACTTCTGGAACGACTGTGAGGTCAACAAA